CACACATACACACACATACACACACACTTATCGAATTATATACAGTAGGATAGGCGCTGTGCTTTGAAAAGGGCCCGCTATGCAGTAAGGTATAGCTGTGTCACCCTTTGAAGCGACAACGACAGTCATTCTGTCGCGTTTCTGTCTCGTTGAGAGGGTCAAAGGAGCAGACATAACGTGGCTATGTCATGCAGGGAAGTGCCCCTCCAAGGCACGAAAGTTTGCAGGGAAGTGCCCCTCCTAAGGCACGAAAGTTAACGCATGAATCTATTTTATATGAACAGTTCCGGCCAAAAACGCACTAATCGAATGATGCAGAGGCCGCCGTGTCCCCACTCCCTTCGCGGCTACCTTTGCCTCAGAAAGTGCCTACCTTGTCAATCAGTCATAAATCTAGTAATTCCAGAATTCGTTTCCTTTCAACAATGACCTTCTGTCCAATTTGTCAGGAAACAGAGAAGGAGCAGTTGGAACTAGCAATTCAACTGCATATGGCAGAGACACAAGGCAATAATTTACGTTTTTCTGTACAGGAAGAAAAAGAGGAAGCCACGGGAAGGGGACTGTGAAGTGAGGGGAAGAAGAAAGATCCAGTGCTGTTCGGCTTGAGAGAGGGTATTTTGCACTGCTGCTACTTCATCTTATGAGTCTTATTAGGGTAGAACCTTTGAACTCTTGTGAAGCTGGGTTACAAGAATTTTCACAAGATGAGCTGTACAGGGCTCGTTTAGTATCATTTGATGCCTTCCAAGCCGATCCAGCTGGCCTCGTTGGCTCTTTTAGTGCGCGGAACATAACGGCGCAGTCCACGGCGGTCATATGCAAGTCTAGGGAAAGCACCCACTGTCCCTAGGGACTTGTTCGCTGTGGATGCTGGAGCAGGAGAGGGGGCTGGGTTGGCCAGCCCATTGCCCATCAATCGTTGAAACAGGTAAGCACCAACGATAGGTGGAGAGATGGCGACGCGAAAAACCTAGTCCACTGACATGCCCCAGCACTCGAGCGAACAAGACTATACGCCATTAATGCGGCTCGCCTCAAAGCGTGAAGACAAAGCGTGAAGAGGAGTAGCGTCAATGAGAAAGGGCAGAGTGCATTTCGTCTTCGCTCACAAACTGTGTTTGCAAAGGAGGATAAAATCTAAAGAACAGCAAGGAAAATGCAGTTTACTCCTGAAAAATAGGATTTTCAGGTACTCTTCCGTCTCCGACGGAGTCTAAACTACTCGAGCAATATCAGTACTGAATCACTTCATGATCTCGACACATTTCCAAGTGCGAACCGAGAAGAATTGAATTATCCACCCATTTACACTGAAGACGATGTATACAGACCCACAGTTTCCCCCACTGACGACTCTCGACAGAGCGAAATCATGCGACGACGGATACGAAGGAAGCAATTGAGAAAAGCACAGCTGATTCTCAAAGACAATATACTGGCCGATCAAGGAATGAATAGAGCGAGCTATTATGACCCAGGTGCGTCAACGTACTTAGCGTTTCTGTAAATATGGGCAGGTACAGCAGCAAGGGCACGTCGCACGTTGGGAATCCCCAGCGAGGGGGTCGTATTTCATGGCTGCAGGGAAGGAAGGGTCGCCATTGCTTTTGAGAAGAATGTTTTTAGCTACTGACTATAGAAAAAATGTTTCCCGCTGTGGAGAAATTCTCGGAGAATTCTCGGAGAAAACGCCGGAGAAGTAGTAGAAAAGTGGGATAAATCGGGGCGGGGAAACAAGGCGTCGTACCAGAGGAGGCAATTTTGAGGGAAGGAGGGGGGAGGGTCGTATTTCGCAAAAATTTTCCCAACAGCAGGACGTGCTCTTACAGCAGTAAGCAGAAAGGATTACAGTCTTGATAGTTGTTTAGGTACACAATCCAATCAGTCGACCAGATACTGCGATATAGATGCAAATGACGATGCGACACTCTGGATGTTGATAAGTTTGTCTGGAAAATTGTACCATGGGAAGGTAAAAGCTATATTTTGTAAATGTTAAAAATGGAGTAACTCCTAGTGAAGGCATACCGCGATAAATACAGCAACAGATAAGGCTGTGTTTATACTTCGCGACTTGACTTGGACGCGCTCTACCGTTAATCATTGAACCGCTGCAACTGCTGATTTAGTCAATCAGTATAAAACCCGTTCCGAACTCTGCGTCAGTCCAACGAGTAACAGTGCTGCGCGGTCAGTCGCAGTCGCGCGACTGAATCTTTCAAGTCGCGAAGTATGAACGTGGTCTGACTATTGCGGCCAACCCTTACGCTTCCTATTAAAAAAAAGCGGCGCCTCAATGCTGAAAGGGCAGTGGTTGTGTGTCACCGCCCAGCCGATTATCGCGGAATGCGCTGATTTGCTATTCATCTTCAAAATCCAATATCTTCCCACAGGAAAGTAAACTAAACGTTGTTGGCCATACGGAACGCAAGTTGAACTTCGTTGGAGCGCTTGTTATGTAACCCCTCTAAACATTAATAACAAACAAACATGACAAGGATACGCCAGCTAAGGATAAAGGATAGTGGTCGAAAAGACTAGTTCCTCC